CATAACACCTCCCTCCGAACGGATGGACCTCTCGGATGCATGGTGGACTTTAAACGTTCACCTCTTCGGCGATAAACTCGTTGTCTGCCGTCGTTCTGGAACAACTGGAAACGACTCTCGTCAGAAAACAGTACTCGGCGCCATTCTCGCACTTGCCAGATTCCAACTTGCATCGCCCATTGTACCCTTCGGCGTCGATGTTGTGCTGTCAGGAACATTCCTCGGAAGGGACGGTAGGCTCTGATTCCTGCAGCACGAAGTCGTCGGAGTACTGTGCGTTGGCTGATGCGATGTCCCAGCGCTGTTGCAGCCGTCGCCGTCGCCGTGACGAACCTGTTCGAATTCGGCGATCTTCCTGGGGTGTTATGACACGTGGTCTTCCCGTTCTGGGTTTGTCTACAGTCCTTCCTGTCTGTCGGTAACGTTGCAGCAGCCTGGATACCGTTAAAGGCGTGCACCCGTACCTTCGTGCAATCTGGACCTGTGTTGTCCCCATCTGTTGCATACCAATCACCCTCTCTCGCTCCTTTCTTGTCAGTCTAGGCATATCGATTGTGTGCTTTTGTCAACTGTGTTGTCAACCCATGGTTTCACCTTATTTATACGCCAATTCGGCACGTGCATCTCCCTCTGCAGCCTTTGCACGTGTTTTACCATTTTCTGGTGCAGCGTGGCACCACCGGTCATGATGTGTTTGGGAGATGCGATTTTGCATCCTTGTGCTTGGGGACAACTGTCTGAATGCATACTTTCAACCAGCTATCAACACTTTCACAGTAAATTGACTTTTTCCGACCTATACTTTCTTTTGCAGCTTAGTTTATTTTTACAGCCTAAACTTATTAAATGGTATCCTTTCTCAATTCTCCATGTGGACATTTTGTGCCTTGATGTGAGTGAGTGAGTTTAGTTTTAGGTCGCTTTTAGCAATATTCCAGCAATATCACGGCGGGCAAACCTCTTTAATCACAAGGCTACCTTACTGCCCCGCCTAGATGTGAAAATACTATTATTATTATTATAGGATATGTATGTAGCGCACATATCCAGGCAACTAGTGTATGCTCAAGGCGCTTATACTTTTTCCCTCGATCATTGGATGTCAATCTCAATAACACATCGTATTATCAATCTCAACTTCCTGGGGAGTATACATCTCTTGCAGCCACTAGGCGCACCGAGTTATTGTGGCTTTCTCATCCTATTACACCAGGTTAAATATGGGGATGGGGATGGGGATGACTACCTTTTTACCCACCCCACCTTTTACATACATCAATCAATGAGGAAGTCCAACATATCAGCTTAACCTTTATTTATCTATATCATTTGAAAACTGTGTCCAACGCAAAGCGATTCGATTGACATCATGAATGAATTTTAAGCTTGTTTACACAATTAGTGAAAACCCCTTTATATGTTTTTTTTCCTTACATATATCCTATGTTATCATCCCGCCACTCTCTTGTTGGAGATAAGCTTGAAGCTTGGAGATATTAAACACATAAAAACAGGAATGACCTTGAAACGATCCACGACATGGATAATACAATGGAATATGTAATGCATTGTATTGTATGTGTCACGGTCATATATGTGGCCCTTTAAGCCCACTGACAAAGAGTCTATGTGTTAAATACTCCTATAAATTATATACTCGACACACACCTCAGCGAGCGCCAATTACAGAATACAATGAATGCGCGGTGTTGCGCGTACAAAGAGCAGTAACAAAATAGGCAGGGATTGAAACACACTGTAGACCTCTGTCCGACTCGAAATGCAATATACTGTCATTATATAAACATGTTTTTGCTATTCAGTATTGTATAGTATGAAATGTGAGGCATACATACTTTTTGGGGGTTTACAACAAATGATTTGACAAGTGTTGTCACCAACTAAAGTTGAACTGTTTATGTACTTTGAAAGCTCTTACCTGGTTGATAAAAGATATATCTATAATGTTGCGCAATAATATTCGCGTTCCCTCTCAACACCCCTGCGTTCCTTCGTAAAGATATCTTAGTGACACAGTGAGGGTTAGACACATGGGCTCCTTCAAGTTTGGGAATGTCACCTCCTTAAGTGATAATACTCCTGATCTTTGAAAGAGCGACGTATGTTCGTTACGCCTCGCATATCAGATTTTAGCAGATTTGACAATCCACGCTAGATAAGATCCCATTACATTTTGACAGTGTCAAATTCTTATGTGATTAACTACCTTCGTGAACTATGTGAGAAATATGAAGTTTGAGAGTATCTGTTAATTGCCAAGTCGTTTGCAACATACGTTTATGATGATTTTTTTTTTCATTTAAGTCTTTTATTACCCACGTTACAAATACAGGGTCGCTTGTTAAATAAGCGTTTGATATAAATATCATGTACAATTGAAGTTCATATTTTATTATAAAATATGCTAAGATTTGCAATCCTTTCAATAATGTCGACAAGCCTGGTTGAATTATTATCGCAATATTTGCATTTTTAATACATACTTTTACATGCACCAGTCAAGGGCGTATGTTACACACATAATCAGCATGAACTGATGTATATAACGAACTGATGTATATAACGAACTGATGGATATAACGAACTGATGGATGTAACGAACTGATGGATGAAACGAACTGATGGATATAACGAACTGATGGATATAACATACTGATGGATGTAACGAACTGATGTATATAACGAGCTGATGGATGTAACGAACTGATGGATGTAACGAACTGATGGATATAACGAACTGATGGATATAACGAACTGATGGATGTAACGAACTGATGATGTAACGAACTGATGTATATAACGAACTGATGGATGTAACGAACTGATGGATGTAACGAACTGATGGATATAACGAACTGATGGAATAACGAACTATGGATTATAACGAAGTGATGATGTAACGAACTGATGTATATGACGAACTGATGTATATAACGAACTGATGGATATAACGAACTGATGGATGTCACGAACTGATGTATATAACGAACTGATGGATGTAACGAACTGATGGATATAACGAACTGACTGATGGATATAACGAACCAATTACTTTATTTATTTGGTGTAGATTTTTGTTGAAATACGAACTATCTTTATAGCGAACTAGAAGTAGTAATCCCTTCGTTCGTTAAAACCGTAATTTACGGTATCTAATATCAACTAGGAAGGAAAAGTGTGTTATTGTTATGGCTTAAATAATGAGGATACATATTGATATAATATCCGGGTTTCAAAACGGCCATGTTCTTTTAAATATATAACAGTGAAGATCCTGGTTAGAATTGGTCTTCAGCAACCCATGCTTGTCGTAAAGAACGACTAACGGGACCATGTGGTCGGGTCAGGCTCGCTGACTTGCTTGACCCATGTAATCGTATCCCAGTAGTGTAGATCCATGCTCATGATGATGATCACTGGATTGTCTGGTCAAAACATGATGATTTACAGACCGCCGCCATATAGCTGGAATATTGCTGAGTGTAGCGTTAAACAACAAACCAACTTTCAAATCCATTTGGCTTCATCTCTGTGTCTGTGACCATCTACTGTTACGATATCTCTTTTACATCCCGCAATACATGGAAATAATAAGTTTAAGGAGAGTACCACTACCGCTTGAGATTGTCATGCTGATTAAGGCATCTAAAATTCACATCCCCACAACATTATTTTATTACGTATTTTATGTTCACCAAATAACTTATTTGGGCTTAATTTGGTACATATCATTCTTCATCCTTTGGGATGGCCCCGTAAGGATCCGGGTTAAAATTGGACTTCAGCAACCCATGCTTGTCGAAAGAGGCGACAGACGGGATCGGGTGGTTGACACATGTCATCGGTTCCCAATTGCGCAGATCGATGTTCATGCTGTTGACCGCTGGATTGTCTGGTCCAGACTCGATTATTTACAGACCGTCGCGATATTGCTAGAATATTGCTGAGTGCGGCGTAAAACTAAACTCACTCACTCTCATTCACCACACGGCGAGCCATGTGAATGCGCATGATTTTAATGGTTTGAATATATTTTAACATTTGTATGCTTGCTACGTTCTTAACACCTCAATAATCCATGGACCTCATTACGACCAATGACAGTTTTTCCATTAGCCTTCTTTCACGTCTCCCTTTCAATGTATTAATTGAAAGAGGAGATTTACACCTGTGAGCCTGGAGTTTAATGTTATAGCGTGTATACGAGTCAAATGTTTTCATTAAAAATGAAACCTTTCACAGATACTGACAAAAGAAATTGGATATTTTGTATTGCTGTCTTTCAGTTTATCCATTCCATGGGTGTCTTACATCGTAACATGAAGACCCCCAACATCATGGTTGATCACGTGGGCGGTCACGTGACGCTCAAGATTGGTGACTTTGGGATGTCCAAGTACGCTGATGCTTCAGTCATGTTTCTTACAGGTTTTTCTTATTAGGTGCAGTTTTTTAATCGAGGCTCCAAATTAAGATTCATATTCATATAAGTTTCAAATTAAGATATTTCTTAATGAACAAAATACAACACTATAAGGACACTCGTATTCTAAACATTCAACATGTGGTAAATTAAATACTTATTGATCGATTGATTTTGATGTGTTTCTTATCATTCAGTAATGTACACGTGTAAGTAAAGAAAGAAAACGGAACCACTCAATTGTGGATTATCCCCCTTTAGTGATGACATCATTCACAGATCGGTATTCCTCGCTGTGATATGTTATCAGTCATCGCACGGCCATGTCACTAACAAACTGAGCATAGGGTTCGACGAAGTTCTGTGACGAATAACCATTCACTCAATGTTTTTTTTAAATTATGTATAGTTTTGCAAGATGCGCTTAAATAGATGCTCTGCTCAGATCTTACGTATTTAGCCATATGTAGTCGTAAGTCCCGTTAGAATAAATCGGTGACTACCTTTAAGACATGTACAACATCGCTATTCTTGTCCACGCTGTCGTATTGTCAGGATGTTGCTGCAGCCGGACGCCATGGCGAAATCTCAGGTCGGAACTCCGTACTTCATGAGCCCCGAGATCCTGAACGGGCGACAGTACAACGCGAAGGTATGGTACATTCTCCAACTTTGGACACGATAAGATAGAATTGATCTTCAGCAACCCATACTTGGAGGGCTAACGGGTTCGGATGGTCAGGCTCTCTGACTTGGTTGATGAATGTCATCGTATGTCAACTGCGTAGATCTATGCTCATGCTGTTGATCACTGGATTGTCATGTCCAGACTAGATTATTTGCATAAGACCAGATATATGCCAATTGGATATATCATTTGGCACGTTTATTGTTTAACGCCGCACTCAGCAATATTCCAGCTATATGGTGGCGGTCTGTAAATAATGGACAAGACAATACAGTGATGAACATCATAAGCATCGTTCTACGCAATAAGGATACGATGACATGTCTCAACCAAGTCAGCCTCTCTGACACCCGATCCCGTTAGTATCCTCTTACCGTATATATCAAACTGCTTACAAGGGGAACGATTTGTTTGTGGGGATTTAGTGGTAACATTGCTACTGACACAACTTTCCAAACTCTGCTTTTGAGGCGAATGGGGAGCGAGTATAGTCTTAAGGCGCTATTAACAGTTTTATACAATATCACGGCGCTTTTTTGTACATGTTGTTACCAGCGAAAGCTTGAACCACTCGCCCACATTGTACCATTGTTTCTCTATTTGTAGACAGACATTTGGAGTTTCGGGTGCACCGCCTACGAAATGGCGACTCTGACGACGATATTCGATGCCAAGACTATTACAACGCTACTCTCTGGGATCAATAAACACAAGGTAATCCTACACCTTGGTATCATACCATATTGTAGATTGAACTTGTGTAGATCTATGTACATAAGCCTATTGTATTGACACAGACCTCGGTGTGGCATAGCTACCCGGTGAGTCATATTATTCAAGGAAACGTGAGTACCCTCTATGAAATGTGAGTGAATGAGTTTAGTTTTACGCCGCACTCAGCAATATTCCAGCTATATGGCGGCGATGCGATCTGTAAATCTTCGAGTCTGGACCAAACAACCCAGTGATCAACAGTATGAGCATCGATCTGCGCAATTGGGAACCGACGACATGTGTCAACCAAGTCAGCTAGCCTGACCTCCCGATCCCTCTATGAAATGTGAGCCAAGGACGCAGAGTGTGCGTGTGCGTGTGCGTGTGCGTGCGTATGAGTGAGTGAGTTTAGTATCACGCTGCATTTAGTAATATTCCAGTAATATCACGACGGGGGGGCACCAGAATTGGGCTTCACGCAGTGTACACATGTGGAGAATCGAACCGGGGTCTTCGGCGTAACAAGCGAACGCTTTAACCACTAAGCTACCTCACTGCCCCTAGGACCCAGAGAGGGAACTGGATGATTAACAATATGGATACACTAAAATCTGCCCAAATGCGGCTCAGAAGGGTTTCTGGGGAATATCTGGGTTATAAAAAGTAGGTAGTCAGAGAACATTGACTGTGGTTAAGAAACCCATAACACACACATTTTGCTTACATCAATTTATATACGTGTAATTATTCATGTGGCAATTCTAATATAGATATAACTTTGGGTAAATCGTGTGTTTTTCAATTGATATTTCTCTAAGAACTTAGTGTTTTCCGTACCTTTGGTTTACAGAGTGGATGTTATAAGAATACACTTTCCAGATGGAAATACCCCTGAAACAGGAACCTGTTGTAATGATGATGTTTAATATGAACACACAACAGGCTTATGTTTTACATTGACAGGCTACTCAGGTTACCAAGCAACTACAGTACAGCATTTTTTTTCCAAACGCTGATAGGCGACATGCTGCAGCAGGACCCTTCAGCTCGTCCTGATGCTGGGGAAATACTATCGCGTCTTCTTCGCGAAGGCTACAAAACGACGCACCAGGATATGACTGCAAGCGCCACATTGACGTCAACCATGTCCTCTACAAGGTCAAGTACACGTACATACCAAGGTCAAGGACAAACGGATTCAAAGGCCGTGCTGTGGTCAGGGATGGACTCCGACACTTCCGGTATTGTGTCGGACGCCAGTTCTATGGTGATTCACGACGTCTCGAACCCTCCCTGGCGCGACATCGACAAGGGCGGTAAGGCTCGGTCAGCTAGAGTGGCGGTTATTCCACCCAGTCCTGGTGGAAGGTCAAGGACCAAAAGCGAAGGGGGCGTGCCTGATATGGATCTCGGTTTGCTTAAGTTTAGCCAACTTCAGAGAGAGAAGAAACTTTCCCAGTCAAAACTTCATAAATCCGTGACTTTTGACCAGGGGGTGCTTACATCCAAAATACCTGAGCATGAGGTAACAAAAGGAAAAGGAGAGGAGGAAGGTAATGTATTCAAATGACCTGAGTTGTGGATATCACACATTTACACTCAGAATCATAGTAATACACAAAGGTCGATTGTATGTATGAACCATTATTCTGAATTCAATAGCGCCAAATCAGGAGAACTTTTTAATGACTATAAAAGCCATCTTCTGTTCTCATCAAAATGGGATACATATATACTGAACAGCAAAAGAAACGCAAATTTTGCTTTTTGCCAAGTTTTTTGTAACTCGGTCAAAACAAACCTAAATAGCATTTATCCTAAGACTGGCGGATGTTCCCGACAGGGCGCCGCCATTTTTGAAAATCGTGAAGACACGGGCTAAAGTCTGTTAGAATTAATGAGATTATGGGTTTGTTTTCATCGAGTTAGAAAATCAAAAATACTTTCTACTCGTAGTTAAATATGTATCTGAATCACGACCAAAAGGATTTTGCATGACACAACTTGTAACATAACGATTTCTTCCACGGAAGCGAGGTGGGGGTTGAAGTGACAATACTGCGCGATAAATTTCTTGCTACATTCACGTAGATACTAGATACTAGTCAATGTACGTCTTTAAACTTGGTCTCATTATCCTAATTAGTTTATTAGGAGGCGATCTGCAGATACTTATAGTGAATTTATAACAGGACTGTAATATCTAGACATTTTATAATCTCATTGGTCGCCCAAGATAGCACACCTGGCAACTAATTGCATAATGTCCGCTATTCTTTGAAAAAAGGAATTTAGTTAGCCAATAATGAGCAATCAATCAAAGTATTGGCGGTTAATCCTTTGAAAGAAGCACGTTGTTTTTACACAGACAGACACGACAGAGTGTATTCAGTATATATGAGTAAATCTACATACATAAACACTACCTTTTGACAAATCCGTTGTGCAAGATAAAAGCAATTAATCAATCAGCGTGTTATCGGTTAATCCTTTGATCGATGTTTAAAATGTTAAGTATTTACTCCAGACACAAGAAATGCCAAATGGGAACCCTTTGTCGGGTAATCTAAGTGGTGTTACCACTAATTATACCTGTTATTAATTCATTAACTGACCATCAAGTGAATGATGACAAATAACATGTAGGTTTATACCACCTAACATGGGTTACAACAAGAGAGTATTAATTGCTGTATTGCATGCAATTTTAATTGCATGTGAAAACTTATGGGCCGACACTGTTTTGAGAATACGAACAGAACTTCATTGTTGCATAAGAAATACATAGAAGCATTTGCTGTGTACTAAAACTGTATGAACCTATTTACCTAAGTAAATTTTCAGATTCTTCTAGCAATGGCAAAGTAGGGTTGTTTAGTTTACGTATTCAAATAAATCAAATGTCAGTTTTTAATATCATACGTAATAGACGTCATATTTTTACATGACATGATTAAATATCGAGGTAAAAAATACAGAAATGGGATCAATTTGGATCAGTCATTATACCATCCAGGCATTAGAAAACCTGAAAAAGTCCACACTGCTTTGATACTTTATTACAATCAGACAAGAACTACCGGGGATAGTTTCAAATAACTGCATCTGATGGGCGTCCACCCTTCTTAATGTCGCACTGTTTAGGTTGAAGAAATTAACCGTAACCGTGATGAGCGAGTCTGATCATCGTTTTCACTATCACTAGCGTCTGGCTCGAACAAATAAGGCCTAGCGACACCAAGCGATTTAGAGAGGATCGTCTATGAAAACAAGTTGTAACTCGGAAACTAGGCAAAGCAGGAGACAAAATTAAATGACATTAGATTGTGAGAACATATAGCTTTCATTTTTCACAACAGTTGTCACGATTTCAGGTTTATACAAACCTGTAAACAAGATAATTTACACCCTGAAATGTACATGAATTCTGCATCGGCCCTCATATCTATTCCTCGCATGACGTCACAGAGACGCGCCGCTCTGATTGGTTGAAATTTTGTTCGCGGGTGAGAATTGTGCACTGTTGTCAAAAGGTCGATTTAAGTTAATTAAAGATCGAAATGAGTAGTTTTAATGACAGGGTTTCGTTTATAACGATGCCAATTAGTGATTTATGTATTTGTACCCCCTAGAGTATATGTGATCTATAAATAGAAGACATAAACATGAACGCTTGCTTTTATGAGATTTCATTTTTCGAAAATTGCGTTTTTTTTGCTGTCAGTATATTCTACACTTGAAAATAAATGTGCAAAGAGAAAATATAGACATACATTAAATAATAGTTTCTCAAACAACCTGTGACTTTCAGCTGAAGAACTGATGACCTCAGAAGACAAGGGGAAAATGCTTCGTCAAATTGAAGAGGTGCAAAGGTTGGTCTCTGAACAGCGACACTAGAATATATTCTGACGGCGTATGCCTGGATGCTGACCCCTATGTGGGATAAAAAACTATGGCGTTGTGTCTGAAATAGAAACGATTCTTAGAGACAATTGTAACAGTTGAGGTATCATGAATTATTCTTCTGGGTGTATTAGTGCCGGAGGTTTGCTGACCGTGGTCTCCAACTTAAATTTTATCAAAGCCACTTTCAGCACATCTTGTTTTCTTTAGTCTGTCCTGAGCAAATTATTTTGAGTATATTTCTGGAACAAACACTTTTATAAAAAATACAAGCCCCGAGTGCAACATGTTTTATATTTGGGATTACACTTGTTCAGTAAAGAGAGTGAATGAGTTTAGCTTTACGCCGCACTCAGCCACATTCCAGCTGTATGGCTGCAGTCTGTAAATAATCGAATCTGGACTAGACAATCCACTGATCAACATCATGGACATCGATCTACACAATTGGGATACGATAACTTATGTCAACAAAGTCAGCGAGCTTGAACACCCGATCCCGTTAGTCGCCTCTTACCACAAGCATGGGTTGCTGAAGATCAGTTCTAACTCGGATCTTCAGGGGTAGTTCTGTAAAGTACTCGATGGGACTGAATCTAATAAAAGTACTAGAATTGTTAAAATAGTGAGACAGTGTAATCCCAAATACAGCATGTTACATTTCACCATTTTCTAAATGGCATTGTGTATTCCAAGCCCCGTATAGATATTTAATGACGGTGATATGCCACTTTGTTGATTAGTTGGCTAGTTGGGTGCATGGTGCCGTAGTCAATAATTAACTAAGCGCAATACTATAAGACCCGTGAAGGTCCGGGTTAGAATGACCTTCAGTAACCCATGCTTGTCGTAAGAGGCGACTAACGGGATCGGGTGGTCAGGCTTGCTGACTTGGTTGACACATGTCATCGGTTCCCAATTGCGTAGATCGATGCTCATGTTGTTGATCCATGCATTGTCTGGTCCAGACTCGATTATTTATAGACCACCGCCATATGGCTGGAATATTGCTGAGTGCGTCGTAAAACTAAACTCACTCACTCACGATACTATAACGTAATGACGGCGGTTTGTAAATGATAAAGCTTTGGTCAGACAATCCAGTGATTGAAATCATGAAGATCAATCTACGCAACCAGGTTACGATGTTTAGCAGAAGGGTCGTGGTTCGATTCCGGACATGGGACTCCAGTTGGTCTAACCAAGTTCATTAAGAATGGTACCCAAATAAGGTACACTACAGTGGTACCGGGGCGTACCTTCCGTAAACGAGGAAGTATGAAACGTCATCCCACTGACGTCATACCGCAGTACCGACTCACTGAAAGATTTGACCTCTTTGGCCATGTGGGCTAAGCCATCAAACTGGAATCAGGAGGTCGATGTTCGAGTCTTGAATTATTGACCCTTCATGTCTTCACTGTGGACAAATCCGTGAAGATCCGGGTTAAAATTGATCTTCAGCAACCCATGCTTGTCGTATGAGGCGACTTACGGGATCGGGTGGTCAGGCTCGCCGACTTGGTTGACACATCATGTCCCAATTGAGAAGATCGATTCTCATGATGTTGATCAGTGGATTATCTGGTCCAGATTCTTTACAGGCCACTGCCATATATACTGAAGAGCAAAAGATTCGCAACTCTGTTTTTTGTCACGTTTTTCAATAGAAGACATAAACATGAACTCTTATTTTTATGAGATTTTGATTTTTCGAAACTTGCGTTTCTTTTGCTGTTCAGTATAGCTGGAATATTGCTGAGTGCCGCGTTAAACAACACAAACAAGCTAAGCTTTATTGTGGAAGAGTTCTGGACCTGTTTCAGGTCCCTGGCTCAGACTCTGGGGGATGGAGTATTTACTGCTGCCTTCTCTACACTGAACATACGGACGGACACCAAGATGGAGGTGAGTGTCCAGGCCAATCCATATAACCCTATCACAGATGTAGGTTACAACGGTTATGTGTAAAACAGTTAAAAAATAATGTTTCTTTAGGGACAATAATTAGATTTTTCAAAATGCATTTCTGGCTGACTTTCTCATTTTGTGAACATTTTATATGAACCGTAACCGTGATGAGCGAGGGCTGATGTCATCGTTTTCACTATCTCTAGCGTCTGGCTCGAACAAATAAGGCCTAGCGACACCAAGCGATTTAGACAGAATCGCCTATGAAAACAAGTTGTAACTCGGAAACTAGGCAAAGCAGGAGACAAAATTAAATGACATTAGATTGTGAGAACATATAGCTTTCATTTTTTCACAACAGTTGTCACGATTTCAGGTTTATACAAACTTGTAAACAAGAAAATTTACACCCTGAAATGTACATGAATTCTGCATCGGCCCTCATATCTATTCCTCGCATGACGTCACAGAGACGCGCCGCTCTGATTGGTTGAAATTTTGTTCGCGGGTGAGAATTGTGCACTGTTGTCAAAAGGTCGATTTAAGTTAATTAAAGATCGAAATGAGTAGTTTTAATGACAGGGTTTCGTTTATAACGATGCCAATTAGTGATTTATGTATTTGTACCCCCTAGAGTATATGTGATCTATAAATAGAAGACATAAACATGAACGCTTGCTTTTATGAGATTTCATTTTTTCGAAAATTGCGTTTTTTTTGCTGTCAGTATATTCTACACTTGAAAATAAATGTGCAAAGAGAAAATATAGACGTACATTAAATAATATATAGTTTCTCAAACAACCTGTGACTTTCAGCTGAAGAATTGATGTCCTCAGAAGACAAGGGGAAAATGCTTCGTCAAAATATTTTATATGTTACTCTCAATACCTAACTCCAATCAATTCGATAAAAAATAATGTACAAATTGTATGATTTTCTCAGTCAGTACTGCCTAATATCGCCATGGACCTATCTGAGTAGTTGGCCGATTCTTAAAGCAGGTAAAACTTGATTGCAAACTGAAACGAAATATTTTCATTTGTCACTGTGTGACAGTTTAAAAACCTGCACGGTAATAAACAAACACAAGTAAACAACGTGATGAATATGTAACACAAGGGGCGGTGGGGTAGCCTAGTGGTTAACGCGTTTGCCCGTCACGCCGTAAACCCGGGTTCGATTCCCCCACATGGGTACAATGTGTGAAGCCTATTTCTGGTGTTCCCCGTCGTGATATTGCTGGAATATTGCTATTGCGTAAAGCTAGACTCCTATATGTTACACAAGACATCAGAAACTTACTCTGTTAGTTCTTAATCTGTGGTTGCATTTAACTTTACAAGTAGAAAAAGACAGTCTTTTAAACAAATAAATGAAAACTGACATTCTTTTTGTATCGGGCTGACTGAAATGTTCGTACACAGCATTACCCTGCCATGCGAAAGACTGAAGAAAACCAAGTGATCGGTCGACCAGAAAAGACATGATAGGGCGTGTACTGATATTATTGAGACTAAAATAGATATGTGCAGTCTAATTTATGTCTTCTACCTACAGAAATGCAACTGCTTATCAGTACATAATACAGCTTATGATAACAGTCAAGTACCGTTGTGTCGAAGTTGAAGAGACCTACTTGAGTAATTGAGTTATCCGTGTTTCGACACAAACACGAAATGATAAAAAGAACAATACGCTTTCACCAAACTGCTTCGAGAAAGCCGTAAATTCGACCCAAAGTTGTTTGATTGTTCTTCGAGTTATCCTAGTTTCGACACTAAATGGTGGTTCAAAACGAATATACTGGGACCAAGCTTTTACTTCGAGAAAACCGTACGTTCGACACAACACTGTTTGACGGAATATGCATTTCGTACCAGTGAGGGACAGTTTCAAAAACTCCCCGGAACATTTCTCTTTTTGTTGCGAAATCCAATTTTCTAATATGGTTAATATGAACGAATTTATCCTAAGTGCTGTGCTATCTTTTCAGAAGGAACTGGCGAGTGTTCTTGGTGATAAGTATGACGAATTTGGGCCAAGATTCGTGGTGCTTCGAGCTCTTGAGAGAGAGTTCACTGAACAAAGGGACGATAGACACGATATGAAGCGGAAACCGTTGAACAAAACTATATAAGGCCACACCAAATTGATTATTTGTTCTGTGGACTTGTTCCCTGAACTGACTGCTGGACAGCATATTGTTGATTTTGTCTGAGCATCAGACTATTTACTCTTAATTCGAGATAACAGTTTCTCGATTTAAGCAGTTTCGAAAGAACAATATCTCGATGCAACTAGATTAGAAAACTGTATGTTGGTTTTAATACTTTCGATATAACATTATATTGATGTAGACGTTTAGAGAAAGCTGAATCTACATGTAGACAGTTTCGAGAAAAGGGTTCCTCGATGTAAACACTTTCGGTAAACGGTGACTGATGACACAGTCTCTGTGCAGAGTTGTGCCCCTTGGGCGTTCGTGAAACCGGAGATCGAGTGTTTCAGGACAGGGTTCAGCATGTTTAATTCCTTCTTTGGCTTGACGGGTGAGGTGAGGTGAAATTGGGTTTTACGTCATGCTTGAGAATATTTCGCTCATATGACGACGTGCATGCGTGTGTATGTGTATGTGCGGCTGCTTGTACTAGCCCAAACTGAAGCTGGTTTTATAGTGCTAGCCCACTGAGATACCATGCCGCAGTGAAGCATGAATACCCCACATTATACTGACTCCGAGTCGACCAGTCCTTGTTGTACACATTAATGCCGAGCGCCAGGCAAGGACCAACAAGTACCATATTTTAACGTCTTTTTGGTATGACGCGGTCGGGGATCGAACCCGCGACCTTCCCGTCTCCGGGCGGACGCTCTAACCACTACACAACGGAGGCGGTCTTGACAGCAACATACCTCAGCTCGAAAGTGACGTCAAAGTGGAAGACGTATAAGACCCGCTTTACTTCGGGCTTTACTCCCACGCCGTGACGTTAACGTTGTTGATATAGTGTTCTAAGTGGCCTTAAACCAATGTCACTTAATGTAACTATTATGAACAGCAAAAGAAACGAAACTCTGTTTTGTCAGTTTTTAAACAGAAGACTTAAACACGAACGCTTACTATTATGAGATTTCATTTTCGCAACTTGCGTTTCTTTTGCTGTTCAGTATAGAATCACATATGTTTGAGAACTCTTATGCAATAGCAATGAAATTAGATTTCGATATACCATTTTGTAAGAGATTATCAGCATAGAACAGTGCACCCTTTTAATCCAAACGACGATAGCCTGGTCAGTCAAAATACGTGGAAACCCCATTTTCAAAACCAAAAGCGAATTTGTTTAGTGAAGATCAGGGTAAAATTGGTCGTCTGCATGCTTGTTGTAAGAGGCGACTAACGGGATCGCGTGGTCAGGCTCGCTGACTTGATAGACCCATGTGATTGTGTCTCAATTGCGTAGATCGATGCTCATTATGTTGATCACTGGATTGTCTGTTCCAGACTCGACTATTTGCAGAAGGCCGTCATATAGCTGGAATATTGCTGAGTGCGGCGTAAAACAACAATTCAACCAACCAACGGGCTCACAGGCTTGGGTGATAAATGTATTTGTGTTCAGACTTTATTATATACTATAAGGGTAATGCTATTTTTGGGGCATTATCATTTGCAGAAGCCGAGGTCTTCCATTAACTGCCCGACGAAGGAGGGCAGTTGAAAAGACCGAGGGCTTCTGCAAAATGATAATGCCCTCAAAAAATAGCATTACCGTTATTAACTGCTAAAATACATGGAATTTGTGTTGAAAGAAAAAGGAAACAATGAAGGAATTTGACTGTAAGTTTACCCAAATCAACTTCTGACGGAGTTGACTGCCCGAATGCAATTACGTCATCGAACAATTCAAGTGACATCACAACAGAAAGTGACGATATTCGACCTTGGCCTTTGACAAGACCGTAGCCTGCAACATGTCAAACTATGTCAGTGTTCGGTTTTGGTCCCTCAACAGTCTTAATAGTGCAAATGTTAAGGTTAGTACCAGCAAGAAAGCCAATATTACCGCTATTTAAAGCGGGAATTCGGGTTGCTTTGACTTGTTTGACCCAGAATATCTGCCAGTCGAAAGCCAATGTAATGTCGAACTATGACGTCACTTGACAACAGAACTGATAGTGGCCCGTCTTTAAGGTTGAGCGGTCCAATATCATTTGCAGCGGACCGCAAATTTCTGATAATGGGAGGGCCGTTTCATGATAATTCCATGTATTTTAGCTATAAACCTATATATAGCCCTTATATTGCTGTTTACTCCGTACAAAAGACTCAAAGCAATAAACAAATAGACATGCACTGCTACAAGCGATTACATGGTGTATGGCGAGAATACTTAGAAACACTAAACAGATGTTCTTTGGTAGGCTGTCTGAGTCTCTGGACCACACTGTTTTCCCATCGAAATGCTAAAAGACTTAAGTGATTTTAGCCACTCAAGATTTTATTCAGGTTCAGCGGGGTGATGGGGTAGCCTAGTGGTTAAAGCGTTCGCTCGTCACGATGAAGACCAGGGTTCGATTCCCCACATGGGTACAATGTGTGAAGCCCATTTCTGGTGTCTCCAGGCGTGATGTTGCTGAAATATTGCTAAACTGCTAAAAGCGGCGTTAAACCATACTCACTCAGGTACAGGAATCTTCTGTCTCAGTTGGGCTCCTTTCCAATTTAACTTATTTTAATTGTTTCTGTCAGACTTATCTACACATTATATATATAGAAATTAAGCGTTTCTCTAACTCTGCTTCATTGTGTACGATGTCAAGCGATGTTGTGATGTTGCCCAGTAACTGATGTTTGGTTCCGCATATAGTGAGCCATTTGATGTTGTATCTAGAGTATGCATTATTACATGAACTGCCAGGTAAAGGAATGTAAAGCCAGTGTGTCTGATTGTGACTAAAACAAATGAGAACAACTGGACATTCGATGGTGACGATGGTATAAATTTTATACAGTGATTGCTTTGTACCTTCATGTTCGCGGCGTTTTGCGACTATTTTCAGTCGAGTAACATTTTTGATAACGTTCGTATTATTTGTCAAAACCATTTTACATGTGTTTACTTTCTTTTGCCTGACATGTTTTATGGGAATTAGTGTTATGTTTTTAGGAAAAATGTCATCTCAATCAAATTGACACTTAAGTTTCGGAATTACTTCCGATTGGTCTCAATGGCACTATTATTTTCGGACAAGATTGTGAAGATCGGTGAAAATATTCATAACGAATAGAACATTTGCCTTTTCTGTCGACTTAATAATATTTATGTCATCTGGTGATGTACAATGTATCGTAGCTAGATCATTCCATTAACGTATAAAACATCAATCACCATACGCATTTTACTTTGTTGTATTGTTGATATTGTGTCTAGATGCATTATTGATTATGACCATGCACAACAGCAGATTTCCAGCAGGAAGAAATTCAACCGGTTTAAGATTTAAGGTTTACAACTACCTTAAGCAAGAATCATCTCCGTTTGGTTTAAGATGCACGTCTTTATTGATTATTACCATGCAAAGAACTATCTCCGTTTGGTTTAAGAGATTTCCAGAAGGTTTACCATTACCTTAAGAAAGAACAACTCCGTTTGGTTTAAGATTTACGTCTTTCAAAAGGTTTACAATTACCTTAAGAAAGAAATCATCTCCGTTTGGTTTAAGATTTACGTCTTGCTCAAAAGGTTTACAATTACCTTAAGAAAGAACTATCTCCGTTTGGTTTAAGATTTACGTCTTGCTCAAAAGGTTTACAATTACCTTAAGAAAGAACTATCTCCGTTTGGTTTAAGATTTACGTCTTGCTCAAAAGGTTTACAATTACCTTAAGAGAGAACTATCTCCGTTTGGTTTAAGATTTACGTCTTGCTCAAAGGGTTTACAATTACTTCAAGAAAGAACCATCTCCGTTTGGTTTAAGATTAACATCCTGCTCAGTAGGGTTGCATCTTGTTCGAGCATGAACTATTTACGTACATTTTAACACCATTCCAGTGCGAGACAATATTAACAGTAAATGATTGTTTGATGCAATCCTTGTCCTGGTTGGGTAAATGTTCGTATCTTGCTCAAGTCCAGCGTGTAAGTATTGTGTAAACACATAATGCTGAAGTAGAGTTTTATGACCACTGATATGCTTGGAGCGGTAGATATGTTTTAAGTACGAGTAAGTATAAAATTGCATTCATGCCATAGTTGGCTCCCGAGGTGTAAACAAATCAAGCTGCATGTCAATACCGCCACACCCTATGGGGTACCCACAAACTTACCCAAACAAGCTCATACAATGAACTAGTGATTTTACTTTAGAGTCCATATATGTGCATAGCCCATCTTGGAAATAATGCGTGTTTATTTCGAGATAACTATCTGGATATAGATAGCTTCGAAGTAATGTAACTGATATTAACAATTCGAGGTAAACATATCTAGATATAAACTCTTTCGAGACAGGGGCGATGGGTAGCCTGATGGTTAAAGCGTTCCTTCGTCACGTCGAAGACCCGGGTTCAATTCCCCACATGGGTAAAATGCGTGAAGCCCATTTCTGGTGTCTGCCGTCGTGAAATTGCTGGAATATTGCTAAAAGCGGCGTAAAACCAAACTCACTCACTCTCAAAGAACTGTTGACTCTCCTTCCTAGTATTGTTAAATAGGTGTTCACAATGTGTCACCAATATATGCTGACCACACTCATGACTTAAAACCATACTCACTCACTCTTTCGAGACAACAGTTTCATGATGGAAACAGTTTCAACATAACGTATTCAGAATGTAAACAGGTTCGAGGCAACAGTACCCAAATGCAAACAAATCTAGATGTAAACAGTTTCGAGAAAACCGTTTCAGGATAGATACAGCTTCAAGATTTTGGACACAAAGAGAAATGAAAGTTTTGTTAAGAGAAGGGTCGATTGTGTGTATCGACTATTACACAATAACTTGTGTCACGATAGAGGTTTCTGTAAAACTTTTCACTTTGCGATTCTTTCTTCACTATTCAGCTACAGCTTCAGAAAACACACGATCAAATCAACATGCAAATTGACGAATACACATTGAAGTGAATTTGTACTGTTTACTACTAGGAAAACTATCCAACTTGTAACTTTAGATAGAACGTTAACACAACGTGAAATATATATATTCGCTAGCATTATTCTGTGAACGCCCACGTTGTGATAAGTCATTTTTTACCTCGTCACAACGTTAGAGTAAATGACTTACCACAACGTGGGCGTGACAACGTAAACGGGAGTTCACAGAATGACGTTGTAGCAACGTTACAGTAAATGACTTACGACAACGTGGGCGTGACAACGTAAACGGGAGTTCACAGAATGACGTTGTAGCAACGTTACAGTAAATGACTTACCACAACGTGGGCGTGACAACGTAAACGGGTTCACAGGAATGACGTTGTAGCAACGTTACAGTAAATGACTTACGACAACGTGGGCGTGACAACGTAAACGGGAGTTCACAGAATGATGTTGTAGCAACGTTACAGTAAATGACTTATGACAACGTGGGCGTGACAACGTAAACGGGAGTTCACAGAATGACGTTGTAGCAACGTA